CTCCTTTAACCACCATGCCACCTGCCAACCCCTTTAATTTGATTTTGGTTATGACAGATTTGCACCAAGGGGAGTTGAAGGAGACTTATAAAATAAAGGAAGGGAGATTATTGACATGAGATTCTTTGAGGATGTGAGATTCTTTTTTTAAATTATTTAATTTTTATTCATTTATTTTAATTCAACCAGAGAGAGACACAGACAAAATGAAAGGGAAAGTGAGAAAGCAAGCCACCAGGTCTGGACTAGAACCATGATCAACCATGTGGGAGCTTCAAGCGCCTTAACTACCACGCCACCTGCTGGCCCCAAGGATATAAGATTATTGATGTGAGATCTAACACTGAAGAGAAGAAGTTTGCACTTAGAGAAATGGATTAGGTTGGTGGTTTTATGGAAGGTTTTAGGGCAAAAGGGTGGGAGAAAGTTGAGGAATTTTATATTTGTTATTTTTTTATAACAATCACCTTACTTTGTGAATGAAGAAGTTGAATGTCCCAACAGATATTTCACCAGGCTTCTCTCTTTGAAGGCGTGCATATGTGTGTATAGCAGAAATAACTATAATATTTTTAAAACATTCTTTTCTTTGTGTGTTACTTTACATATATGTCTAGTTACAGTACCTTAACTTTCTGTTAAATATATGTTGTTTTTCTCCTGGCTTCAAGTTCCCTGATGCTAAGAGATGAGTACAGGGTCATCTTGAGCTTTCAGCTCATTTAGTATCTTGCATACCTTTACCACTTTTGTATTCCTAGGAAAATAGAAATTTTTTTTACAATTATTTATTTTATTTTATTTATCATCATTATTATTTTTTTTAAATTTGTTACAGGGCACATGTGCTCACCAGAGAAAGAGAGAAAGAGCGAGACAGAGAGAGAAAGTGAGAAAGCAAGTTGCCAGGTTTAGGACTTGAATATTAGTCGGCCATGTGGGAGTATAGCGCCCCAACCACCGTGATACCTGATGGTCCCCAGGGGAGGTTTTTTTTTTTTCTTTTTTTGAAAAAGAAGTACAGCTTTATTTAGATGCTTTAAACATATAACAACAAAATAAAGGACTAGCAAGTGGCACGGTGGTTAAGGCACTGGACTTGCACATGGCTGACTGCAGACCTGGTGGCTTGCTTTCTCATTTTCCCTCTTTCATCTCTCTCTGGTCAAATAAAATAATAATAACAACAATGATAATAATAAATAAAATGATATAACTTTAAAAAAGCCAGTTTTCAGTGAGAAGAGAGCATTGTTTTTTCCTCATCCTCATGTTAAAGCTTCTTGTGATATGTATTATGAACTCCTTTTGACTCTTGATCTGAGGATTTTTTTTTTTTTAATGCACATTCATAAGAGAGAAAGAGAAAAAGAATCACACAATAGGTGGTCATTGCCACAGACCATTTCTCCATACTGCTTGTATTAGGGGCATGCACGCACATGTGCCTAGTATGTTACTCAAGCTGCCGAGGCTGGGTTACAAAGCAGTTGATCACCCATGTGAGATCTGACTCCCTTAACCACAAGGTCATGGGGTCAGCCCAGTCTGAAATTTTTTTAATATTGGTTTATGAATTCTCCATCATTAGATACACTTGAAGACAGTTTATGCATCCCTGGTTAAAAGCACTTAACCTGGTACTGAAAATACTGCCGTACTTTTAGAACATTCTCATCAGGGCCAGTGGGCAGTGTGAAGGTTAAGGCGCTGAATCTCACATAACTGTCATCGTTTGAATCCCAGATCTGGCAGCTTGAAAATCAAGGCAGGCACGCGTGCGTGTGTACCCAAAATCACGAGAGGAGAATGGAGGATAAGGGCTGACAGCATAGCCATTCCCCCAGGGGGTGATTTCTCTTTGTCTCTCTCTGTCTTTCTAGCAAGCACACACACCTTATAGCAAAAATCTCTTAAAAAAAATAATAATAGCCTTTGGGCCATTTCCATGATCTGGTAATTAAGGCAGCTAAATCCCATATGGTACATTACACACAGTTTGAATCTATTCTGGTCTTTGAAAAGAATTCTGGGTGTGACCATGGAGAGTGCTCTCTCACTTTCCCTCTTTCTCTTTTCTAAATAATAATTTATTTTAATTTTATTCATTGTCATTATTTTATTTTTTTGAAGTTGAACAGAGAGAGAGAGAAAGAAGGAAAATGAGAAAGCAGGCTGCCAGGTCCGGGACTCAAACCATGGTAAGCCATGTGGGAGTCCAGACGCCTTACCCACCACACTACCTGCTTGCCCCTTTCTGTCTCTTCTGTCTCTCTGTCTCTCTCTGGCTAGTGAATATGCCCTATAACAAAAACAAAATAAAACATTCTTATCATCATATAGTTTTGGATCCTAACACCATTACCTCTTTTTTAAAAGAATTATTTAATTTTATTTATTATTATTGTTATTATTGTTTATAATTTGTTATAGGGCATGTGCATTCAGAGAGAGAGAGAGAGAGAGAGAGAGAATGGGAAAACAAGCTGCCAGGTCCAGGACTTGGACTGCAGTCAGCCATGTGGGAGTCCAGTGTCTCAACCACCACACCACTTGCTGGCCCCAACCTCTTAATCATTAGTTATCATGAACATATATCTGTTGGCTGCCCATCTTGAAGAAAGTACTATTATATATTGATACTGTATGTTACAGTGATTTTTTTTTTTTTAATTTGCTGTTGGGTGCATGCACTCACAATAGAGAAAGAGAGAGAGGAGGCAGGGAGAGATAGGGAATGAGCAAGTGAGCCTCCCTGGAGGGATGGCCATTCTCTTCAGTCCCTTCTCCCATTTTCCTCCAGGGATTGAAATTTTGGGCATCCCCACACATACTCCTGGTGTGTCTTTCAAGCCACTAGGCCCAAGATTTGAATTGTGCATTAGCCATGTGGGATCCAACTGCCTTAAACACCACACCACTGGCTGGCCCTGGAATTCTTTTTATTTGTTTAGCAGATACACCCTGAGGATCTTTTATGTGGGATATAGTTTTATTTTTTGCTAAAACTGTTTAACCTTGGTTTTTGTCATGAGGAAACGATCAGATCCAGAATATGAATCATGCTACCAGCTAGCTGACTACAAAAATGTCAAGTATTAGAAGAAAAGAAAAATAAAAAACAGGATAAATTTGAGATTAAAGAAGATCAAAGAGACATGACAGTCAGATTCAATGAGCAGACCTTGAATGGTCTGGGTTTTGAATAAAGCTGTAAAAGAACAATATGATTTCAGGAGAGTTTGAATGTGCACTGTGTATTAGTTGATAATATTGAATCAATGTTAAATTTAAGGTCTTGAGGCTCTATAGGAGAAAGTTCTTTTTTTTTTTTTAAGAATTATTTTTTATTTAACTTTGGTTATTATTATATTTACAGAGAGAGAGGGAAAGTGAGAAATCAAGCCTCCAGGTCTGGGACTTGAACCAGGGTTGGCTGTGTGGGAATCTAGCACCCTTAATTACCATGCCACCTGCCAGCCCCAAAAGTTCATTGTTTTACAGGGATACATACTGATATTTAAGTTGGAAATACGATGTCTGCAACTTTCAAAAGGATCAGGAAAAAAGGGTGTATATAGAGAGAGGATGTGAACAGAACAAATGTGAAATATTAATTGGTAAATCTAAGCAAAGGGTACTCTGATATGAATAATTCCTTTGATCTGTATTTGGCAGTTTTCAAAATAAAAGAATTGAGGAAAAAATACAGTAGTTACCGGTTATAACAAGTGTTTTTAAGAAAACGGCTATTTGATGCACAGAATTGTAAAAGTCTACCTTTGATAGAGTTTTTTAGAGGGATCACCTATGCAAAAAATGGAGGGCCAGACCAGGGAGTACTGTTTTGATAGTCAAGTATGGTATGTATGAATGCTGTGGATAGGAAAGATGGTAGTTTTTGAAGAATTGATAGGAGGCCCATATGGTTAGATCATGAGATGGAAAAACATTTCTATGGCAGGAGAAAAGATGTGATACTTGATTTGCAGTATTTTCAGACTAACAAGTACTTTTTTTTTTTCTTAAGGTTTTTGCCATAGGCTCCATGTACTTACCAGAGAGAGACACAGAGAATGAAAGTAAGAAATTATCTCCTGAGGGATGGCCACACTGCAGTCCTTTCTCCTCCATTCTCCTCTCAGGATTTAGGGCATGCACACACACGTTTCTGGTGTAATTTTCAAGCTCCAGGGACTGGGACTCGAACCATGAAGTTGGCCATGTGGGGTCCAGCCGCCTCAAACACCATACCACCAACTGGCCTATGACCTGTGTTTTAAAATATCTTTCTAGTGGTAGGTGGCATGATGGTTGGGGGGCTGGACTCCCACACAGTTGACCATAGTTCGAGCCCCAAACCTGTTGGCTTGCTTCCTCACTTTCTCATTTTCCCTTTTCTCTTTCTTTGGTAAAATTAAAACATAAATTATACTAACAAATAAGTTAAAATAAATATTTAAAAAATCATTACTGTAATCTTCAGATTACAGTTTATTTAGATTAAATTAAGCTGGCTCTATCAGGTGGTGCTAACATGCTGCTAAAGTGATGTTGAATTGATATGGAAGATTGTGGGTTCAGTTCCCCCAGTTGACCTGTAAACATCTGGCGCACATGCCATTTATCCTGGCTTGCTGAGAAGTGGGGGTGGATTGAGGTGAGGGACCTGGTTGAAGATGCTTGTCTTTCTATCATGAAAGAAATAACTTTTGGGGAAAATACATAAATAAATAAACCATCCACGGTCTCACAACTAATAGTTCAGATAGTTTTCTAATTAGCCAGAGGAATAAATAGGGGAATGGGTTGGGAAGAATTAATCCAGGTCTTCTCTGAGCCCATACTAATTTAAAATTATGCTTCCAATTACCAACTTCTTGACGGAAAACAATAAATTAAGAAGTAATGGCTTGAACCCTTAGTCTCCACATGGTTTTAAGGGAGGAACCTTCTTTGTCCTGGCAGTCTCTCTCAGGATGGATATCATTAGCAGTGCATATGCTTCAGCAACACATACTAAAATTGGAATGATACAGAGAAGGTTAGCATGGCCTCTATGCAAGAATATCACCACCAGTGGTTCAGTGATAGTGACCTTTTCACCCCTGCTTAACTTTACTATAATGAAATGCACACCATTTAAAACTTACCATCTTTTTTTGAAGTATTAATTTAATTTATTATTTTTATTAATTTGCTACAGGGTGTGTATGCTCACCAGTGAGAGAGAGAGAGAAAGCGAGCTGCCATGTCTGGGTCTCAAACCTCTGTCGGCCATGTGACAGTTCAGTGCCTTAACCAGCACGTCACCTGATGGCCCCATAATTTACTGTCTTAACCATTTCTTTTTTCTTTCTTTCTTTAGCTTTTTGCCAAAGGGGTGTATGTATTTGCCAGAGAGAGGGAAAGTGAGAAATTACCTCCTAGGAGGATGGCCATGCCACAATCCACTCTCCTCGCAGGACTTTGGGCATGTATGCACAGGTGCCTGGTGCAGTTTTCAACCACCAGGTCCAGGACTCCAAGTGTAGTTGTCCATGTGGGAATTCAGCACCTTAACCACCATGCTACCTGTTGGCCCAATATTAACAATTTCTAAGTGTACAGTTGAGTGATATTAAATATATTCAGAATGTTTTGTAACCGTTACCACTGTTCATCTCCATAATGCTTTTTATTTTATAAAACTGAAGCTCTTTGTGTCTTGACAATTATTCTCTATTCCCACTTCTCTAGTTCCTAGCAACTATTATTCTTTTCTTTTTTTCCCCTGCCTGTGTGCTTGCCAGAGAGATAGATTAAGAGAGGAAAAGTGAGAAATCACACTCAGGCGAGATGGCCAAACGATCCCTTCTCCATTTTCCTTTTGGGATTTTGGGCACATACGCACATGTACCTGGAATGTTTCTCAAGCTGCCAGGTCTGGTACTTGTACTGTGGAGTCAGCCATGTGGGATCTAGCCACTTTATCCATCACACCACCTGGCTGACCAACATGGTTTTTTAAGCTACCAGGGCCTAGATTTGAACTATGGTCAGTCATGTGGGATCTGACTCTCACTGCACAGAGCTTAACTGGTATGCCATAGGGCTGACTCACCACCATTCTGCCTTCTGTCTCTGATTTTTTTACTACTCTGAGAGAGACACATACATGTGAAAACACACACAGTATCCTCCAGTGGTACCTGATATACCACAATCCTTCCAGTTCTCCATTATGTCAGGATCTGGGCACACATGTACATTCCTAGTGTACTTTTCAAGCTATCGGGGCTGGGACCTGAACCTCAGTTGGGAAGGTGGGATCTGACTTCCTCTGCACTGTGTTTAGCTAAATTATCAGGGAGGACTAAGTTTTGAGTACTTGTAGGTACTTCTTAAGTGAAAGTATACATTGCAGTTTTTTTTTTTTTTTTTTTGACCAGCTTACTTCCCTTAGCATCATATCCTCAAAGTTCATCCATGTTGTAGCATATGTCAGAATTTTCTTTTTCTTTTTTCTTTTTTTTAGAGAGATTTTTACTATAGGGCACAGAGAGAGAGAAAGTGACAAATCACCCCCTGGGGGGATTGGCCATGCTGCAGTCCCTTCTGCATTCTCCTCTCTGGATTTTGGGCATGCACACACATGCCCAGCATGAGTTTTAAGCCACTAGGTAGGGGACTTAAACCATGTTTAACTACATGGGAGTCCAGTGATGTAACCATTATGCCATCTGCTGGTCCCAGAATTTTCTTTCTTTTTAAGACTGAATATTATATGTATATACTTCATCTTGCTATTCCATCCATTCATCTGACAGTGGACACTTGGGCTGCTTCTATGTTTTCTCTGTTGCAAATCTGCTATGGACATGGGTGTACAAATAATTCTTCCAGACACTGCTTCTCATACAAACAGAAAAAATCAAGAGCTGCATAGTTTTCTTCTATGGGAGGAGATAACATGGGGAGTTTTTACTGTATGTATTTTTATCATTCATTTTACCATCACCATGTTTATCTTGTTAATCAGAAAGGAAATAATAGATTCTAACATTGGAAAAAATAATTCGGCTTCTGGGACCAGCAGTTAGCGTAATGACTGTATCGCTGGACTCCCATGTAGTTTAACTACATGGGAGTCCAGTGATGTAACCATTATGCCATCTGCTGGTCCCAGAATTTTCTTTCTTTTTAAGACTGAATATTATATGTATATACTTCATCTTGCTATTCCATCCATTCATCTGACAGTGGACACTTGGGCTGCTTCTATGTTTTCTCTGTTGCAAATCTGCTATGGACATGGGTGTACAAATAATTCTTCCAGACACTGCTTCTCATACAAACAGAAAAAATCAAGAGCTGCATAGTTTTCTTCTATGGGAGGAGATAACATGGGGAGTTTTTACTGTATGTATTTTTATCATTCATTTTACCATCACCATGTTTATCTTGTTAATCAGAAAGGAAATAATAGATTCTAACATTGGAAAAAATAATTCGGCTTCTGGGACCAGCAGTTAGCGTAATGACTGTATCGCTGGACTCCCATGTAGTTGACTGCAGTTCGAGTCCCTGACCCGGTGGCTTAAACTCACGTGTGCATGCGTACACAAGATCCCGAGAGAATGGAGAAGGGATTGCAGCATTGCCATCCGCCCCGGGAGGGGGGTGATTTCTCACTTTCTGTCTCTCTCTCTGTCTCTGTCTTTCTGGCGAGCGCATGTGCCCTATAGCAAAAACCTCTCGAAAAAAAATATAATAATTCGGCTTCTAATAAAAGTCATATTCTATAAAGGACAGAAGTAGACAATGATAATGGGGAAAATCTACATGAGGGGAAAAGCCTTAGGGAGAAAACGTACAAAGGTGTTATCCTGGTTGTTTTAATGTGATAATACCTACAGATGGCTTACCTTTTCTTACTTTGTTTTCTGTAAGATTTCTTTGGGCAGAGAAATTTTGAAAGATACTTCTTTTACAAATGATCTGTTAATGCAGTGTTATATATGATTTATTTATGTGGATAAAAGATTCGTATTTATTTTCCTTACATGTGAAGTAAAGTATAGTGTTTACTTAGAGCAAAGCTGAGATTACTTATGCTTGTAGTCATTGTAAGAAAAAAATATATCTCCTTAAATACAGGCTTTTTTGGAGAGAGAGCTTTGTTATAGGGCATCCATGCTCACCAGAGACACAGAATCAGAAACAGTAAGAAACTCTAGGGGGGATGGCCACACTGCAGTCCCTCTTCTACATTCTTTCAGGATTTTGGGCATGTGTATACATGCCCTGGTGTGAGTTTCAAGCCCCCTGGGTCTGGAACTTGAACTGTGGTTGTCTAGCACCTCAATCACTATGCATCTACTGGCCCCTCTTTTTTTTTTTTTAAATTAATTTATTTGTTTCTTCCATAAGAGAAAGAGACAGACAGCATCCCCAATTGGGTGTTAATGCTATAGTCCACTGATAGCCCTGGATTATGGGCACACGCAAGCTTGATGTACTCAGGAAACTATCTGAATACGAACCCAGAGCTTTCCTGTGTGGGTCAGCCTCACAGAGTTATGACTTAGCATTGTACCACTCTTTGGCCCCCTTATATACAGGTTTTCTTTTTTTTTGGAGAGGTTTTTCACTATAGGGCACGTGCGCTCGCCAGACAGAGAGAGACAGAGAGACAGAAAGCGAGAAATCACCCCCCAGGGGGGATGGTCACGCTGCAGTCCCTTCTCTTCCATTCTCCTCTCGGGATCTTGGGCACGCACGCACATGTGCCCGGCATGAGTTTTAAGCCACCGGGTCCGGGACGTGAACCGCGGTCGACTACGTGGGAGTCCAGCGACATAGTCATTACGCTAACTGCTGGTTCCCAATACAGGTTTTCTTGATGTGAACTTGGGTTCATAAATTTCACATAGCCGTTCTACATTGAAGATAGAACTGTGAATAAGAATAAGATGTGGCATAGTGATTAAGGCAGCTGGATTCCGTGGCTGATTGCATGGTTCAAGTCTGGACCTGGTGGCTTGAGAAACATGCCAGGTGCTTTTGCATGCATGACCAAAGTCCTGAAGGAGAATATAAAAGAGAAGGGATTATGATGTGACCAGCCTTCGCGGGGGCTTGCTTCTCCCTCCACCCAACGAGTGCATACACCCTCTAGCACAATGTTTAGAAAAAGAATAAAGTATTCTCTGTATTTGGTGGAGGTGGTTGTTGGTGGGGTAGACCGCAGTGGGTTGAAGATGAAATAGGGAAAACTATAAATGGATAATTTCTCCTTCAGGTCTAGCTGTGAAGGGAAGGAAAGAAATAGGAAGTGATGGAAAGGGAGCCCAGGTCCCTGCCAAGGTCTTTGCATGTTTTCAAGCATAGTTGAATGCTAATGGGATGGTTCCAGTAGAGAGAAGATTTATTGAATGCCATCTTGGTTTGTAATCTATAACTTTCATGTCTTGCAGTTTGACTTCCCTTATTAAAAAGGATCTATAAACTCCTCATCTACAAAAATATCTTCATAGCAGTATTCTGAGTGTTAACTTACCTCTGTATAACTAGCCCCTGGCACAGTGAGTGAGTCATAATAGGAGCTCAAAAAAACGGTCCATGGGGGCCAGCAGATGGCATAGCGGTTGTGCTCCTAGGCTGACTGTGATTTGAGTCCCAGACCTGGTGGCTTTAGAATCATGATGGGTGCAAGTGTTTGTGTGCCCAAGATCCTAGGAGGAGAATGGAGGAGAGGAGAAGGGCAATTGCTCACTTTACTTCTTATTGGTACCCCCTCTCTCACACCACCTGTGAACTCACACACCCCAAGGCCAAAACCTCTTTTTTTAAAAAAAAAAAGACTCATGAATGAATATGCATACTGCCTAATGTAGGTTTAGGCACAGAATCTTAAGAACCTCCTACACATTGAGCTCTGAGGAGGAAGGGGAAAGTGAGGTAGTGGGAGCAGGCATAAGGAATTAATGGTACTTTCTATAGTAGGCTGCTGAGAAGCTCACCAGAAATATTAGTAGAAGCAGGGCAGAAACCCTAGTGGTTGGATTTTGTTTTTCTTGCTAGAGGGCATTTGAGTTCAAAAGAGGGACAGAAAAAGGAAG